TTTCTCTCTTTCTCTCTTTCTCTCTTTCTCTCTTTCTCTCTTTCTCTTTCTCTCTTTCTTTCTCTTGTTTTTGTTTTGTTTTGTTGTTTGTTTGTTTTTTGAGACAGAGTCTCTCTGTGTATCCCTGGCTGTCCTGGAACTCATTCTATAGACCAGACTGGCCTCAAACTCAGAGATCTGCCTGTCTCTGCCTCCCAAGTGCTGGGATTAAAGGCATTCACTTGTACCTAGAACTTTTGGCTACTTTATTGAGTTCTTTTTCCTACCACCTTTCTAACTTCCCAACTCTAGGTAAGAGAGGAAGAAGGGTGGGAAAAGGAGCGTCCATCTTGTTAGCTGACCTGCTGATTAGGGGTGTTAAGTTCCTTGAGACAAATCCAGCAATCTACCAGCCAATCAGCCCCTTCTGTTAGCATTATTATATTCTCTCAAGAGTCCCTGGGAATATAAATAGAAGATAAAAATATCTATCTGGGTTCCCTGAGGGACAAGCCTGACTGCATAGGGGTTGATGTCAAAAGTATCCCCTCTCCAGAAAAAAAGACATCAGGATGAGTATGGCCCTCATGCCTCACTGGACAACAACAGGGGGACTGGAGCCATTACAAGGTCGCCTTCAAATACTGGAGGTCAGGCCTCTATCCCCGCCTTCGCAAGTTTAGAATTGCCACAGCCCTTCTATACTTAGAGAAGGGAGGAGATGTCAGGGGCAGCCCTGCTTACCCACTGAAGGCCTAAAATCAGCCATAGGCCTAAAATCAGCAATAGGCCTGTCATACGTGTATACTAACATCAAGTCTTGGGTCTCAGTGGAAAAACATTGAAACAGATGGCTATAAGCTAATGTCAACAGGCAGCTTTTGTGGAAATTTACAAGCCTGAGTAGTCATAGACCTTGTAAATAGGTATCCTTGGCAGATAATACCAACTTAGATAAGGACAAGCGAGTCATAGGCAGAGTCATAGTGCCCTGTCCCCTGAACCTTCACCCAGTTGATACCCTGTTCTGAAAGATATCTGTATTCTCCCTGAACACCCACGCTCCAGTGTCATCCCCTTCCCCACATCCTGCCTTTTTGTGTTTATAACCCCTGTGTGAATGAGTATAAATTACGATTTGAAAAAATTTAATAAATTATTTTTAAAAAGAAAAAAAAAGAGTCCCTGGAATGCCAGACAAACTATCTTCAGCTGGCACAATCACGCTTCTGCCAGAGCACAAGACAAATCATAGCTGCTGTGAACAGTCTGGAACAGCCCCATATCCCACACCTGGGATTAAAACAAAAACATTCACATGACATTTCTATGTTTTTAAAGACACCAAAATTCTCATTACATGTTACCACCTGCCTCTCAATCCAGAGTCTTTTAAAGAGAAACCGTCTGCTTGAGATAATGAGGCATTCTGCAGAGAACCTATTATACCCCTGTGATTGGTTTGAGACTTGAAGCATCTTTGTCTTCATGTGGTGCCATAGTTGGCCCTTTATAACAACAAGAGGCCAGTTGGGCTCTCCTGGCTCAGCCCAGGCAGCAACAGCCTTTAGCAGTAGGGCAGGCCCTGTGTTCCTCCACAGCAGCAGTGGGAGACCAGAGGAGGGGACAGTGGAGTAGCAATAAAGTATCCTCGATCGGACACAAGGGGAAAAAGGATGAAGGAGAGATGGGGCAGTCTTTAGGTCTTCAGGCATCAGAGGAGTCCCAGACCCCGTGTCCTGGGTTGGAAGTCTGGGATGAGCTGCACAGTTCAACAGCAACGATTTGGGAAGAGCAGCTGTCCTGGTTCAAGCCCTGTGTCTGACTTTCAGCAAGTTCATGGGGTTCCCTGTGCCTCTGTAAGATGGGGGTAATGCTGACAAACCCTCCTGGAGATGCTTTGAGGGTTACAGAGCACCTGGAGCTGACACGGGGAAGGGCTCTTTCAGGATAAGATGTCACTCTGGTAACCATCCAACTTTACACAGGGTGAGCCTTGGGGACTAAGAGAAGAGGGTAATGGAGATTCCCACTTCAAGTGTATATTTCCCAGCAAGAGAAAAAGCTAAACACCGACAACCAGAAGCCTGGGGAAGAAGTCCTGCAAAGGCTAGGTAGAAACTCAAGCCGAGCATGAGCCCACCAGCTCCTCCCCACTCCACTCCTTGCTACCCTGCCTTTGCTGTGACTGAAGAACTTGAAAGCAAAGCAGGAGGGCACACCTTTAAATCCCAGCAGAGGCCGGGCAGCTGGCAGCGCATCTCTGAGTTTGAGACCAGCCTGGTCTACAGAGCACATTTTTAGTCAGCCAAGGCTACACAGAGTGAGACACTGTCTCGAACAAAACCAAGAACCTGAAATGAGTATTCCGTGGAATGCAGAGAGCAGTGGATATGGTAGTGAGCCAAGCATGGGCGAGGAGAGCGGAGGAAAGCCAAGTTGTAGCTTTAACTGAGCCACCTCACTTCCACATCTGTAGAACAAACCGGAGGGCATTTTTGGAGGGTGGCATTCTTCCATGTCTCCCTTCTCTCCTGAAAGCACTTTCTCTTAGTATTCTCAACTGTTTTCTTACATGGCTATATCTTTCTGTATCTTTTTGGTCACCGTGGACCAATCCTTAAGTTGGAGCCTCAGTTAAACAGAAAATTTCCTTGAAATTTATCTTTGGAATTTACTGTATAGGCCAGGCTGGAGAACCTAAAGCACTCTTCTCTAGCTCCAAGGGCTGGGCCTACGCGCCTGGCTGGTCAGTTCCTTAATGTCACATTTTGTCAGTTACGTTGTGGCTTTTAATAGTAAAATAATTTTTTACTTAGATTTTTTTGTTTTGTTGTTTTGAAACAGGGTCTCTCTAAGTAGGTTTGGCTGTCCTGGAACTATGTAGACCAGGCTGGCCTCAAACTGTCAGAGATTTATCTGTCTATGCTTCCTAAAAGCCGGAATTAATGGTGTGTGTC